AACCTCCTAGGCCTTTCTCCAAGACTTCGCAAAATCGACCACTGTGTTTGTATGGATCGACCTGCGCTGCGAGGAGAACCAATCGTGAGGCTGTGCTGCCTGGATGCGTCCCTCTTGCCCAGTAGTAGTACCGAGTGCAACAACGGGTGAATCTTCCCTCACAGCTCGTCACGCCCAGCTGACCCTCCAAGCACGAGTGGGCAACTCAAGTATGTACAAGAAGTCAGATTCAGCTTCTGATGTGTCATGCAGCGTGCCAGCCAAGCGTGTCTTTCAGCCGGTGGCTGCATTGCGTCTTGCGATAAACTCACTCAGCTCGCCTAGAGCTCAAGTCAGCAGCTCATCTCTCTTCGGTACGCCGTTACATACTCGTACTATGTGCAATACTACTAGCAGCACAGCTGTGATACTAGGATACAGTATCATCAACAAGGCTACCGTGCTTCTGCAGCGCGGTGGAGCCGTCAACACGGCGTTTCTGTCGCTAGTCCCTTGCTGCTGGGGCTTGGCTCTCGATGGCTATCCATCGTGGCCCTGCCTGTAAGGCTTAGGACCTCCCGTCGTCTTAGACAAGCTCAGCATCAGCCGCCACGTAGGTAAGAAGGGTTGACGGCGAACTCGTCATCACATGTAATGGACTGATACCGAGCTAACAAGATTATTACTAGATCACCACTGAAGCCGAAGAACTCGATAACTCCCTACAACTGATACTACCTTACAATGAAACGCTTCACGATGCTCCCGAGCTCGTATCAAGCAGGCAGCAGCTAATTCCAGGCATCGACAGGCACAAGCTGCCCCATCTCGAAAGAGGAAAAAAGCTCTCGATACCGAACCGAAGCACCCATGTGAGTGTGATCCAGTCCCGGCCAAGGGGGGGTCCCTTGAGTGCTCGTCTAGCCTCAATGCCAAGCTTGATAGTAGCTTGATCGCGTCGATTGCTATCAGTGGAAACGCCTCATCAGCGGGCCGAAGAAAAAAAACAGGGTCCTTTTCTCTGGGTACACGTATCATCCACCTTGGAAACCGGAGCTTGCCGGGGGGGGGGGG